CGGTCATGTATCACTACTGCGTGGTGCACATTAAAAACTCTAGGCTAGCAGTCATACTGCACTGGCTAAATTGCTTATCTACACTAGGTAACAATGTCGCAATGTTCTGGCATGGTCTCCTGCTGTATAAACAACTAACGGCCAATTTTTTTTTGTCAAAATACGGTGTGGAAGGAGAAAGATGAGAAAGAAATTACACAGTTGTTAGTCTGCGCCATTCATGTACATTGCTTTTCTTCTATCATCTGTTTTAGTTTCAATTTTATCAAGGGCGTTTATCTTGCATCTACGCAGCGCAGCAACCCATCAAAATAACTGTAAAAGCCTGTAGGTAATGATAAATTGCGTTCCTGGTTGCAGATTGCCGTAAAAACACATTTGTTTCTAGGATTCATTTTGTAGATTTTGTATGTAGGATTCACGACGGGGGACAACAGTCCATTCCGTGAATGGACTGTTGTCCCCGCCTCAAGCCCGGTTCGCAACGCAGTTCATCACACAGCCACCTTACCACGTCTTTCGAGAGGCGATAGTGTTGTTGAAAATGAACGTCGTCCATGTCAAACACATTGGCGTGGTTTAAATACCTATGCCGACGGCAAAACACGAACGAAAACGCTGTCATTTTGGACGCTTCTCCCTGATCTCGCGCCCAACTCGCCCAAACTCGCCTAGGTCGGAGCCGGCAAGCTTTTCCCATCCGCGGCGGCTTCTGCCACGTCACAATGACGTCACCGCATCTCGCCACGAGTTCCGAATATGCAACTCTCCGACTGCCTCAAACCCTCCGTTCTGACGTCACGATCTAGGGAGTGTCAGCGCGTGTCGTCATGCACGGCGCCGACCAATCGCGGCGGTCGGCGAGTTTGGCGGAGAACTCGCCTCGATCTCGCCGCGCCGAGCTTAGCCCCCCTGGAGGGGTCACGTGACCTGGGGTGGTCACGTGACCTTGAAGGTCACGTGACCTTGGGATGACCTTGGTTTCGCCGACGGCGACGCCGCTCAAGCCGGAAACGGGCGCCTAAGAGCTGCGCTCTAGAACTCCATTAAATGGGTACAGCGAGGAAAGACTTGGCGTGAAGTACCGAATTTGATTCCCCAAGGACTGCTCATATTGAATGCAAGGACATCTTATTTATCGCAGTTTTCTTCGCGGGGTATTTTACCTAATGTTTTACTCGATGATTGCTTATCATCTTTATTCGATCACCATACGAGAATCGCAAAACGTTATCCTCGAGCAGGATAAAATATCTCGGCTTGCCACGCTCCATTCGTACACCGAGAGTAGCGAAGCTCTTGCTATCCAGCGCGGTGGCACCCCGCACCTGAAATCGTTTGTCCCCGGAAATACCATAGCCAACCTAAACAATTTTAATATCCTATCTTTATTTTTGTGTGTGGAAGCAAAGTTATTTCTTTTATTCTAAATATAAAATATACCGGAAAGGAAAACTTCACACTACATCATCTTTTTTCGAATCACGAGTCTCTAATATGATACCTCTTTGTACGCTGTATGCAAAATGCTGTATGTAGTTTCTCCCCACTTTTATTGTGTGACCGATTGCTCAAGTTGCCAATGACCTGATCTAAATGAAGATATATGAAATATGAGTGTTGCTTTCATGAAACTGGAACTCAGAGTCACTTCTCGTATTGGGAACTGCTAAGTGTAGGCTTTGAAAAAGGAATTTTTCGTTCTTTGATTTTTTTCCTACGTTCGCCTAAATATATCGCAACTATCGTGTCACTCAGATACCTAATATATATTTTAAATAATAGCCATTTATAAGTAGGATATTACCTGAAAAGTATATGATGGTGATTAAATTAGTTCGTGAGATACATGCCTCGAAATTTTGCCATTTGTCGTTCGAGCGGCCATATTTGGCAATTCGTAGAAAAAGAAATATATCTTAAATAAATATTATTATTATTATATATTACCAGTAAGCTGTACCCATAGTTTGTTTATACAACGTAATAAAATCCTTCTAATTTTATCGTTTTAGTTATTCATTTTCAAACACGCCCCCTCCATCAGTGCGCCTAAATGCAACTGTCCACCTCTTCATGCCTCACGACTTTTCCTGTACGCAAACTCTTTTTCTGGTCCAAACTAAGTGTGGATTCGTTTATACCAGCGACTAGACAATGGCATAAAAACACATCGGTTGATTTAAAAATGTCGACCAGTCACCCTTTAGTCGATCTTATCTGAAATCACCCCGCTGCATTTGGCAGTGGCGGGATGTCGTATTTTGAGGTTGGCGAATCGAAACCAAAATTGCGACCAAAGGGTTCTGAAGATGTTTCGCGCAAGCTAAGCCGCTAGGATCGCTTCGCTATTGCAGGAGGCTTATTCAATAGACGTCTGTCGAAAATTGATTGCGGTCATTGAGATAAAAGAAATTAATTGCGTCACGTGTTCGGCACTTATGCGACTTCAAAATCCGTCACGAAAATTCAGGGACAACTGGCATCTGATCCTGAAAATACCTATTTCCATGGTAACCACTGAAATTATATGCATCGTTGAAATGTATGACTCCCTGTGGTTTATGTATGTACTCATTTTGATGTATTATGAGTAATGCAAGTACACAAAATCTCAATATTGGCAGGGTTACCTTGGCAAAGAAGGATGTCTTCTCTGTCTTCGAATATTTTCCCGCTGCTCTTGGAACCTTTTCGTGTTGTCCGTTGGTGATCTAGAACAAACGCCAATGCAGTAGCGGTCTATGAATCGTCTAACATTTCGCGATTGCTAACAGTGCTTTGTAGCAAATAAAATAAAATGAAAACTTTAAGATGATTACAATCAAGTGGAGCGATTGGTAACAAAAACTCCCTTCAGACAAAAAAAAATTACCGCATCTCCACGTGGTGAATGATGTTGATTGGGGCGAAGCTCTGGTGGTGCTGATGATACTGATTTTATTGTTCATAGGTAGTGCTGATGGTGCCGATTTTTTTTATTGCTCATAGGTAGTGCTGAGTTCTGGGTTGTGTTTCGACTTCATTATTACAGCTTTATGGTCGGTGAAATGCAGAGCCAGTGGTTCTTCTAGCGGACCAGCTTGGATCCGTTAGAATCCGTGGGAACGCACCTCCACCGCTTAAGTCAGCGGTCCATGTCAGAAAGAGAATGTGTGGTATGGAACGTTGTTACATACGCATTTGAGAATTTGACCGCAGCGCCCTCCCGTCTATAGACGTTGAGCCAATGCGTGCAAAGTTTAATGCAATTATATATGCATTTGACCGCAGCGCCCTCTCCTGTATAGACGTGGAGCGGCTTCATGCAACGTTTCATCCATGAAAGAAACCCCAGCTCTACTACCCCATCTCAGAGCCCCCTACTCGTCCCGCAGTCGTGGCCGAGTGGTTAAGGCGATGGACTAGAAATCCATTGGGGGTCCCCGCACAGGTTCGAATCCTGTCGGCTGCGCAAACGTTTTTTCTTTTTCTTTTTTTTTTGTGAGCGCGAACGCCGGCCGGCCGGCCGGACGGACAGAGAAGGCTGGACCCTAAGCAGCTTTGCCCCTAAAAAACGCTTAAAATGATTTTTGTTCTTAATCGTGGTTTTGTATAATTCTATCTTGGTTGCTGTACAATATTTAGGTCGACCTACAGCGTGCTATCTTAGAGGTAACAAAAACAAATTAAGCGAACAAATAGCATAAGAATAATTTGTGAAAAAAAAAAAACGTGATTGTAGGATTAGGGCAAGAAGGACCAGTGAAAAAAAGTTGTTTCTGAGTTTTACGGCTTTGCTCTCCTATATCAGCTTCCAAAGGACCGGTGAAAATAGGTTTCTGAGTTTTGCCACTTGTCTCTCCTATATCAACTTCCCTCTTCCGTCTGTTCGATAATACTCAAAACAGCGCATCAAGAGGAGAAAAAGTATCTGGCTGAAATAAAAAAAACTCCAATGTCAAACGAGGTGACCCTTACGCCCGGATCGCGGCTACGGTAATGTGAATGTACGATTTAAGAATTCCAAAAATGCACTGCGAAGGTTGTCAAAGTCTCTTCGAGTTTGCCACTGCGTTTCAACGTTATGACAGACGCGATCGCATCACACCGGTGAATAAGCTAACAAATCGTGTTCCATGCTCAAAGCATGCACGCCGCTTCGTCGGCAACGTCCAGTAAAGCGCCTGTGACGAAACGTCAAACCTGTTCGAAAGGAATCATGTGAATCATAAGTCGAGCGTGCGTCAACTGATGATTGGTCGTCAATCGGAAATGAACTCTAAAGCTACGTTACGGGCTTGAGTTTTGGTTCATGTTTTGTGAATGCGGACAGCTGCACAACTTAGGCGTAACACGAAAGTAAGAATTGGACGAAAACACGTATGTGTCTTAGTTAAAATTTTACCTTCGTGATTCGTCCCAATAGTTCAGCTATTGTGACGAGTGCAGAACATTAGCAAAAAATCACGCAGCGCTCATATCCGATTCGTGCGCCACGTTGGGCCAACGGCTGGAATATCTCCGCTTCGTGTTATCCGCAATGGTGGGTGTCCTCAATTTTGTCTTTCATCAGCCACCAGAAAGTCGCCATAAGCATGCGACAGGCGCGATAACCCAAATGATAGTGATCAAAATGGTCGCGATAAATTTCGAAAAATTGTGTATGATCCTCTTTATATGTATATTTGTCTATTGGATGAAAGGTAACAGGTAAGCCGCAGCTGCGCTACTCATACGCCATACAAAAGGCAATATTTTCTGCAGTTACAGATACGCATCAAGGATGTTCAAAGCATGTTTGCTTTATACATATGCTTGAAACATCTCCGCAGGCAGTTCGTTTGGATGTCCAATGCGACAGGTCTGTTATACGAGGGACCGGCAGTTTGTACAAACTGTCTTTTGCACGACGCATCAGGGGTGTGAGCGCGGCTGTATCGGCTCGCGCCTCTTACCGTGGATGCTTCGTTTTCCTCCCTGTGGGCCTGCAGGACACCCTGGTCTATGGTGGCCACGGCGAGAGCCTGCTGTCTGTCCGCCTCGTGCGGAGGCGACGCTGAAGTCGCCGCGGGCGTCCACGTCTCCAGCGGCACGCAACAGACGAGCTGGTGCAACGACAGCGCGCCCAGGACGAGCAGCGTGGCCGCGAAGCCGTACCCGTCCAGAAGCCAGGCCGCCAGCGGAGGGAAGGCCACGCCCGTCGTGCTCAGTGTGACCGACATGAGGCCGAACGCCGTCGCCCGGTACTTGACGAAGTACTGCGAGAGCAGCATGCCGCACACAACGCCCACCACGGCCACCCCTGTGCCTGAAGGAAGTGGGGACCGCCAGCGATTTGCCTTGTCATCGCATTCCGGGATCGAAACTATAGTTTGTCTCTTAAATATATCGTAAACGATCATCGACTGAAATCGTTTTTAATTACTTGAAGTACTTCTTGTACGAGCAACACACCTAAAATGTACGCAGTCATTGAACAACGCGTCGCTTCGCAGACGACACGCTCAACTCTCGCACATAAAAAATAGGTATAGTACAAACCAACGGCAGCGACGCCTTTGACACCTTTCAATGCTAACGTGCGAGTTTGATTTTTACAAATACTTAACCGTCAAGTTTTAAAGGCTTTAAAGTTCGAACACAGAATTCAACATACTGGTTTGAGTGAGCATATCGAAATCCAAATTTGTGAGGGCAAAAGACGCACAATGAATAATAATAAAAGTACCTAACGGCACTTCACCAGACACTTTAGGGAGTTTTCGTAGACCGCGTTTCCCCCTCCGCTAAGCCCTCCGCAACGAAGCATCCGCTACTGCGCCGGCGCGCCGATGGCCTTGACTGCAGAGTTCCGGCTAGCGTAGCTGGTTGCGGAGAGCGTTGCCGGGCAGCGGAAACGAGCTACGAAAACTCCCTATTAATAGTTTTATAGGCGTGGCGTATGGAATTGAAAGGACGCACCTTGAAGGCCCATACGCACATTCGCGTTTGAACGCGTTTGACTACGTTGCGGTGTAGAGACTCGCTCAACTTTCCGAAGCGTTGCGGTGCGTTCGGGTGCGTTCGACCAATCAGAAGCCGAAAGAGGAGAGGGGGTGACGTGTTCGCTCGCCCAACACCACCTGCTCGCCACACCCGGCCGACTCGGCGAGACGTATCCGGTTCGCTGGTCGCAGTGCTTGCTTTTTCGTTTTGGGGAGCGGTGGGGGCTGTATTTTCCAAGGCTGCGATGGTTCAAGCTTGACAAAACGTCGGGGAAGCGAACACTTCGATGCTGTCGCCGTGCGCCGCCATGTTGCCTTGGATTTCGCTTACTATTGATGAGCCACTACCGACGATAGCGCGTTCTTATTGGCTCTTGACTGCGGTTGACTGCGTGTCAACGCAACTGTGCGTACAAGTTTGGCGCAAGCGGTCTTCGCAACGCAACGCGTCCGCTTGCCGCTACGGAACGCACCGCGCTCAAACGCGAATGTGCGTATGGGCCTTGATACCGGAGACTCCTTCATACATGATGCCCTGACGTCACGAAGCACTAAGAAATATTCATAAGGGTGCAGGCGAGCTGGTGAATATTAACCCTGTTGAATTAACCCGAGACTGGGGTAGAGAAGAAACATCAGAAAGTAGAAGGGACAGAAAATAGACAGGTCGACGTCTCAATCGACGTCGTTCTGTCTATCGACGAGACGTCGTCCTGTTTATTTTCTGTCCCTTCTACGTTTTGATGCTTCTTCTCTACTCCAGTCTCAGGTCAATTCAACATCACTAAGAAATGTTTGTTCATGTTCTTGCCGTCTTTCTGACGTGATGTTTTTTTTATTTCTCTGCTTTTGATAACCATGAGAAAAGTTGGAAGTCGAAGTTTACAAATGGCCCTAGGTCATATTCGAGCAAGGTACTTTATGTTTTGTATAATTTTGGTAGAAAACGGAAATTTTGAGGCTCGTTGGCGTGATGCGAAAAAGCTGTACGGTGCCAGTGGTCTTTCCCTAAGACATGGGGGCCTGGTGTACGGCAGCGCTCCCATTACTGCAAAACCACCATTTGCAGGTAAGATGCAAACACGTTGTGTCAAGCAACAATGAGCACACACCATGAATGACTCCCAGGACCACCGTAAGCACTCCAATGTCACTGATGAAGTAGCTGGTGAGGAGCGAAAGAGACGTGACCAGGGACGCCGCTACAAGGAGGGTCCTCTCTTTGAGCCATCGGGACAGCACACCGTACACCAGACCTGCGTGGAGTGGTAGGAGGAACCGCATGGTTGCTTCACTAGGCAGTTTTACTACGCGTTCGTTGCCATCCTGAATGGCGGAACTTCCTGAGCGAGCGGAAACATCGTTTTCCTGTCGCCATTGGAAGGTGTTCACGTTTTATTCGGAAACGTCACTCGTTATTTTTCTTCCCTTGCCTGTAGGGGGTATTCATTGGGCGCCATATTTGAGCCCGATGTTCACAGCGCATGCCCAGAACGAACCCCCACTTACCTTCCGAGAAGAGCTGCAACCTTGGTGGTGCGGAGTGCGTACGCGTTGCGGGAGTGTTGTTAAAAGCTCATCGTGAGGTGGCACTCAGCAGAAACAGACTCAACTATGACCGGCAGTGAATACTGCCCATACCTTTTTATCTATTTTTTCTAGCATGGGATGTTATATTTATTTGTCGTCGCGCCAGGCCTGCTACCGAAGTACATGACTGGGGCTAGGGTGGAAAATACAAATCTATACTCGCCTAGTAGATCGACAGACTTTTTATAACGTATTTTACGGTAAACATTGTGAACGACAGGAAAAATCTTGGTCCACAAAATAGAATGTGCGAAGGCGCTGTAACCCATTTATAATCGAGCTACATTGTCTTAGGGTCTGTGGCATTGGGTGCTTAAAGCCTGGCTTTGGGGGCGACGTCGCAGACAAGAGAGCACCGCTACGGCAGCGTTCACGGGGACCTCTGTGACGTGGTTACCCCTTCGTCGTCTGCTCTGAATTTTGGACACGCAATTTGCACGAACGCCACGTCAGAGTTTAATGCGTTCACGTGACCGCAACCACAGTTGCGTGCCCTGGTCTCTGGCGACAACCCGATATTCCGGATCTCAGCAATCGGAACCGGAAGCACTAGGTAGAAGTAACATTCCATTATTTCGAGAGTATTTACGACCGAATCCACAATCAGCAATGTTCTACACCTTATTGAATTAAATACCGCAACTCATAGATGTTATGCCTCTTATTGTCGCTGTGTCTAAAGTGCCGTCCAACGGCACTTCACTCGCGCCTTCAAGTGCCAAGTCACGCTTGTTCTGACATGTATTATATCAGCCGCTCGCCGAATATTTGTTTTAACATAAAGCTTGAGCGAGACAAACGCCACAGGATTGAGCAGCTTGCTTTCTTGCGTATGTCTATGCCTGCGCGATGCAGGTGAGCGACCTTCTCAAGTGTGCCCAAGTGGGATTCTCCCGAATTTTGCAATTGTGTTTTAAAATACGTATTTGTTTAAATTTGACCTTCTCCAGTGGCGTCAGCAACCTCTACAAAAAAAAAAAATCGATCTTTTTTTAAGACACGCGTATTGAAGCTAAATATTTGTGAGACCATAGAGTCTAGCCAGGCATGCTAACCATTACCCTAACCCAAATTGCTTGTTCTGCTAACATATGACGCCATTTTGTCTACGAGGCTACGACGTCAATGTATCCCGTGGGCTTTAAACCCGGATACGTTTGTAAAAGCAGTAGACTGCGCCAAAGACGGGGCTTACCTTTGAGGGCAATGTTTTGAAAGTCGGAGTTTCTTTTTCTGTCGGGACCATTCAGACGATTATCTCTTTTATACCGTAGTTAGACGGGCACCTTTAACCGCAATTAAAGGGAAGCTAAAGTGGTTAGGCATTTGAAGAAAGAAACGTAAATCGTCTTCCTTTGACCTCCAAAATCTAAAATCTTGAAATTATTATTTTTTTTCATTTGATGCATGGAGGCTGGTACAAATCATTTGCAAGGTACCGCTGAAGGCTCTTCTTCCCGGAGCGTGACGTCACAAAAAATGTTTTCGGAATCTCCACTCCCACGCATCTTCAACGCCTATCAAAGCCATTCTCGCGCAATCTTGCTATTTTTAATAATGACAGAAAAAACGTCACGACTGTTGCCTGTGCGTTGAAATATAGACGTTTTCTGTTACCTGTCGTTCTCTATCACTTGAGTTCCGTTGCTAGAATTCGGGGCGAAAAAACAATGAAACAGTCACGTATTTTTTCGTAAACACCTTCCAGCGGCGTGGAGAGACCAAAGCGATGTTTTACCGCATACCAGAAGTGACGACATTCCAGATGGCTGCGCCCTCTTAGAAAAGGTGCGTACCTGGCAAGCTTGCAATGGCACGCGCGGCCCTCGAGCGACACGCGCTTGGCGGTCGAAAGATCCTCGTATGACGTCACGACTGGTCGGAGGTTTTTCGTGTTCTCTCGCGTCTAGTTACATTTTCGGGAAAAACGATCGGTATATTCAGATTCACGAGATAAAACTACGCTAGATTCAACCTTGACCTCATTTTTTAAAGAAGTGTTTCAGCTTCCCTTTAAGTGTGACAAAGGTCAGAGTTAGCTGCGATCTAGGCTGCCCGACGGCATCCTAAATCACAGTTACGCGGTTTGCAGCCACTGCCAGCTATACCGTAGCAACAAGGTCGCCCTTAATCCCGATTAGGTCTGACCCCAGGCACACTTAACGGCGGTTAAGGGTGCCGGTGTAAGAGGTGTGAACACTGGTGGAAGAATAGGGATGTGTCGGGAAAAGATCAGGAAGTTGGCCGAAACATCTCTCGGGCTTCGCGCATCTCCCAGCTGCGGCGCTGTCGGTTTAGGGCCCCCGCGCAGGCGCAGTCGCGTGACGCGCAGACTTGAAAACGTGTGCGCGAATAGGCACGCCTCCTCGAGCCCCTGTCATGCTGCGCATCTCACGGCATCCGCCAGAAATGCGAAAGAGCCTTCGACACTCTTGTTCCATGGCGGCGATGTTCAGACACTTCCACCTGGGTCTGTACTGAACACCTGGAGTTCGTTCATTTTGGTAGCCATTTTCTGAGTCTATAAGGCACAACCAAAGTAAAAGAATCCATAAAACGTAAACTGACACATCAAAAACGCGTTATTGTTTTCTTCTTTTTCTTTTAAGTGCGTAGCACGCGAAGAGTGTCCATGATTCCCGTACACTATGGCCTCACAGTTCTCCGCACAAGTCTTCTGGGATTGGTTTGCCTTTGTTCGTCATATATCGTTTAGAAAGGAAGGCCGGAACACACGAGCAAAAAACTAACCGAAAATCGCGCAAAATTTGAAATATTAGAAATAGGTTTCGCATCATTGTTGCCAAACAAACCGCGCATGGGTATTAATTGCAAATAAATAGCAAAGGTGCTTTTAGCGAAACCATATTTCGCAATCTAGGTACCACGAATAACCTCGTTTGTCAAAAATAGCAGGGAAGAATTTTCAGATAAAACCAGTCTAATGCAATTTCCGTTTCCTTTTTTTTATGTTCCTCGTTCTTTTAGATACAGCTAAAAAAACTGGTTGTTTTTTCGCGTTTTTCTTTTAAGCCACGCAATTGCATTTGAGCTTTTCGCAACGTTGCACTTTATAGACACTTTACACACGCGCCAAATTACAGCCGCCATTGCTGACCTTCTCTTGTCTTTCCCAGATAACGAGCCACTAAAGCGGGCGTTGACAAGCCTCCAGAAAGGCTAATGATGTGGAGAAGGGCACAGTAGAACCTAAAATGGCAATAACCTGCCCCGCTGTGGTAACGATGAAGCGAAGTAAATGTAAAAAGAGGAAACAAGAACTGAAGGGCGGTTATGGCGGCGCCCATGCGCTGCTGCTGCAAAGCGTCTATAAAATATGTTTGGTGAACGCCCGCGCGCTCGTAGCAACAGCTGTGTACAAGGATGCCATATTGAGCTCGTTAGCTGTTAGCAGTATGGAGGGAGGTCACATAAGAAATCATGCAGTGTGGGGGCAGGTCACGATAGCAATCATGAAGGGTAAACAACCTCTAGAATAATTAGAGCCCTTGAGTAGCCTCCTCTACCCGTAAACAACGTCAACACCCACGGATGGCGTCAAGTTCGTCCTTCAGCCCTAAACCCGACAGCGAGCGTCCTTTCGTGTATTGACCGGACACGAGGCTCCGCCGAACGCTGACGAACCAATCGTGTCCAATCTGTCTCTACGCTCGAGCTCACGGTATAAGAATGCCAGTGCACGGGCTTTCATCATTCTAGGCGGTGTTGGCCGGGCATTAGGCAAGTCACCAAATCCTTCAGAAAAATGGCACATACACATCTAAAAAATTAAAAAATATGGTTTTAAAATAATTTTGGGGGTTTCTTCGGCTCGTCCACGTTTTACAACCTAAAAACTCCTTCAAAATACCCCCTAAAAGGGTTTTTCGTGAAAAACCCTTAAGGGGTCTTCATCGCCCAGTTGCCTCTCTGGTGCTTGAGGCGAAAGCGTTCTTCACGAGCTGAAAGGGTTTTTGGGACGTCAAAAAACCTTTCAAGAACAGATTTTTGTTCTTAGAATGGTGGATGTCACTGCTTTTGAAAATGGCTCTCAGGTGATCCAATTCAAGCCGTGGTCAAACTCAAATACATCATACAAAAGACAGTCTGCAGAAACGGCCTGAGGCGAGCTTGTATGACTGTCTCGCCGTCACACTGGTCAACAAGAATTGTCTTCAGAGATGTTCTACTCATACATATGTATGAAACGCTTGTTGCGGGCCCGCAGATGATTCTGTCATACATGTCTGCAGCAAACACCCCTTGTGTGTTATGTGAGTAGTGCGACAGCTGCTTCAGCGAGGGAGTGTTGGTGCACTCACTTCCAACGTAGTAGGCGCACACCATAGCGGTGAACGGTAGCGAGGCGTCCTCCCGGGACGCTCCAGAGCGTCGGAGCAGACCCACGTAGAGCACGGGGCTGGAACCGATGCCCGCCCAGCTGAAGAAGCCGTAGATCGTGCACAAGATGCCCAAGTACCAGGCCCTCGGAGAGTCCGGCACCTGGTGGCGGGCTTCGGGCTTGGACGAGGCCGCCGGGAGCGTGACGGCCACCTTGGGCATCGGGACCCTTGGCGTGGGAAGCCCTAGTAACCGACTGCGTACAAGGTCCTCCTGTCCGAAGAACGGGGTGTCACTTCGCCTTAGGAGGCTGTGACTGCGGCGAGGGCAATGGGCCGAAATTTATATACAAACGTCGTCCAATCCAAGATTCCAGAGGGGAAGAAAAATGAGACGCGGGCCTCTGAGGCAATTAAGTCACTGGGTAAACTGACGCAATCTCACGTAACCCTCTTAACCCCAATGATGGTCCCTATTGACGCTTTGCACACGCGTCAGATTAGAGCCGCCATTGCTGACCTTCTCTTGTCTTATCGAGATACCAATTGCTCCTGAAGCGGGCGTTGACGAGCCTCCACAAATTTCAATACTGGGGTGAAGGACACAGTCGAATCTAAAATGGCAGGGGTGGGTGTAGCGAGTTGTGGGAAGAAGAGCTGGCCGGCGTCTCTTGCCCCCATCTGGTCTTCCGACACTCATATCTACTAGCACGATATACTGTGCTGCCTTCCTGACCTTCTTCCTGCCTTGCATGGCTTGGGACGTCCTCCCTAACTTGTCAAAAACCCTGCCGTTGCCCCCCTCGCTATGATGGTATCATCTTGGCCCTGAGGCGGTGCAAGACCAGGTGCACACCAGGCCCAGACGGCATTGCATACTCAGGCACTTGCCAGACAAAGTTTCAAAGGAGCTCCTGACGAGAATCAATCAAGTCTGGTGGACAGGTCAGGTCCAGGCAGCGCAGAAAACGTCCTTGGTCATACGTATTTATAAACCAGGCAAGCCTACAACAACGCTCGCTAAAGTAAGAATAATTTCGCTGGCCTCCAACTTACGGAAACTCATGAAGAAAATGGCGCTGCGTAGAATTCAACAAATACTCGAAAACAACAGCACATTTCACTACACATGCTTCAAAGGACACCTCGGGATGCATGATTGCCTTTTCATGATTTACACAGCCGTGCTGGAGACACCCTCAGTGATGTGATTGGCCTAAGCCATTTTGGAGCGCCTTTCGGAGCAGCCAAAAGAGTGTTTTGGAACAGCAAATGTGGCCTTAAATTTGGAGCAACCAAAACAGTGTTTTGGAACGGCAAAAGTGGCTTTTGGAGCAGCCACGAGAGTGTTTCGGAGCAGCAAAAGTGGCTTTTGAAGCAGATGTTCTTAAAGAAATTAAAATATTCGTTCTAAGTGTACAGACAAAGGGCACTTTGTGTTGTGTTCTGATGTGACGACGGAACTCGCTGCTTGTGTTTTTACTGCTGAGACATCCCACAAGTGTACAGTGCTGTAGGCATTGCCGAGCAATTCCGAAACACCGCTTGCCACCATTTTACTGGTTCCTGACGTACCAGATTTTTGTCAAAAATAAGCAAACATAAAACAATGCATTGCAAGCGTCCCGGCTGGTGCCTCTGTCGTGAAATAATGATCGCATGCACGTGAGGGCAACTTCGGTAGGCTTGCAGTTGCGCGCTCTTCGTCGCGCGAGCGGAGTCAACGGCTGTTCGATCGAAACCGAAACCACTCCGCTCCGTCGCCAACTGATTCCCAAAATTTTATGCAAAATGTAACTGTCGAGCATTACATATGTCAAAAAACAGTCCAGCGGCGCGTGCTTGCCAGGCCGGCAAACAAGGTAGTACAAGCTAAACAAACAAAAAAAAAACAAAAAAAAAAAAGAACCTGAGCGCATCGATGCAAGACATCGCGAACCGCGGTCAAAATGTTCTTGGAGCGCTTTGTGCAACGACTGAACTTGAGACAAACAAACGTGCTGTGCGGGTTCAGCGTGCAGACATTGCCTTCTTTGCTTTTGCTCACTTCACCAACTCTCTTTTGCGGCAAGTTTTTCACGTACCGGGGAACCTCTCGACAGAAAGCCCACCGAGAGAAACCCTAGGTAATCAATACTTCGACACACCAGTCTTTGAGTTAAAGAAGGATTTTTTTTTTTTTTTTAGTAACGTATGATTAAAACAAGAAAAGGAATGTGTATGAACATGCTGTGGCACTTAGTTTCATTTTAGAAAGCGCAATATTTGCAGCGATGTGGGGACGGCAAGACCTGACGTCGCGCGACCACAGTGACTGGAAGGCAGGTACCAAATATAGTTTTCCCACGGCCGTTGCTTTCAGGAGCGAGTGCTTCAGCTCGCAAAGTAACTCCTGCCGCGCAAAAACGTGGTTTCGTTTCACAGCATGACGGCATGGCTGGTTCCCAGCATGCTAGTGTCGGAGCGTCCGCACACACCCGCGTCTTTCGTTGAAAAATATAAAAAAAAAGACGCGAGACGAGACCCACGACACGACGAGAACGCGAGACGGCAGGAATACCATGCAAGACCGGATAGACCATTGATGCAGGCTGCTTTGTCTGAAGCGGCCGCTTGCGCCACATAATCCACGCATGGTCAATTACGGTACTCAGTTTAGTTTGGGTGTTGAAAGGCGCATGGTTTGGCTTTGTTTGTTTTTGTTTTTGGCGCATGGTTTGGCACAGATTACTCATATTTTGACAAAATGTAGCAGGATGTAGCAGGGTTAGCCTCTTGGCGCAGTTTGGCGCAATTGGCGCAGCAATCGCATCACTGCACCCTCCAAGGTAGATCCACGCATAGTTGTCACGATAGACGTCAAAAGGGGTTTTGACTCCCTGTCACAAAAGTCAATCATTGACAGCGCAATCGCTCATGGCATCCAAGAAGCACCCCTCAACTTCGTCAAATCCTTTCTAGAGGGACGGAAAGACACAGTCGAAGTGGGAAACACCGAAGATTTAGAAACAAACAACAAGGTCGGATTGCCTCAAGGCGCAGTACTCTCACCCCCATTATTTAACCTAGTCAGTTCTGACCTCCCGCCCCGCTTGGCCCGGATTCAAGGTCTCGGCTTCACCATCTGTGCTGATGATATTGCGATATGGACCAAAGGCGGAGCGCTCGAAAGGCAAGAAGAGATCCTACAGGAGGCACTGGACACCATCATCAAGTTTCTAGACTCGGTGGGCATAACGGTAGCACCGGAAAAGACATCGTAGTTGGGAACCGACACATTCTAGCTAAGACCAAAAACCAGAACAAACGCCTACGGTCTAGCCATGAAGGGTCAAAACATACGGACGGTAGAAAGTATGAGAATCCTCGCACTATTCCTCGATCAAGACGGTAGGCCCGAGACATGGATGCAGAGAGTAACGAAAGCGTGGAAGAGCGCCCATGGCCTAATCATAAGAGTAGCCACGAAACAATGGGGAGCCCCGGAAAAGGTAACACGCACCCTGGCTCTAGCACTCCTGGCTTCGAATGTATACAACTATAATAGACACACCCCAGCACAAACACCAAAACTCGAACGACTCAACAGAAAAGCCACGAGGGCATTTAGTCGACTTCCAAATTCGCAAACATCGAAGACCTACACGTACACCCCAGGCTCAACACTCTCAAGGAACGTGTGGATGTGCTCAGGCAGGTACAACTAGACCGGCTTAAGACCACAGAACCAGAAAGAGTCATACTACGGTACACTGAGTACATATAAAATTACCTCCCGGCGCTCCCACACAGAAGCCTCGAAGAGGCGACGATTCAACTTACCACATTTGCTTCTTTGGCTCGCAACATGGGTAAGAACCATGAAGTGCGACGGGTTTAAAGAACCATGGAGCACATCGACATTGTGCGAGAATATATCAGGGAGCTCACAACCTATACATATAGTCAAATTCAACGTTACGCGGAAATAAGCAAGGAGCCAATGGCTGGTTCACTCTCAACGACGAGACTGCACACAACAAAGCGCTCCAAGGCGAACATAGCCTCAAGCAAGTGTGGCTTGAGACTAGGCTTGCAAAGAACGCGATACTAATGTCCTCCCCTTCAATCTCGACGAGTTCTTGTACCTGGTACGGATCAGGCGCCTCAAGACTTTAGCAGACCTGATACCTCAAGACCCGTTTGGTGAACAATTAGCCGAATAGGGCCGGGGTGACCGAAATATACTCCTCCCCATCCGCACGAATATGGCAGTAACCCCAGCCCTGCAAGCTAAACTAGACAGTATAAGGCGGATCCGACACCCAGACGAACCAAGACATGGTATTACCGGTAACTGCGCTCAACGCGGTACCGGGAACTTCGCCACCACGGACTTCGTCCTACTACTTCACAAACACGACGGGCCATGACATGTGACCGTCCCGCTCGGCATCGCCCCAAGACCATCCGAGAGTGGATAAGGCCACAGGGCGAACCTCAGCGAAGAAAGATGGCACTCGACTCTCTCTTTAAATCTATTCGGGAGACTAGAATCACAAACCACTGATAAGACTCAGTTCTTCCTATACCCACACACAAATAACCTGAGGTCAAGGTAGGGAGGGTTTATTTAGTGAAATACGTTTCAAACAAAAAATATATTACTAACAAGAACATTTTCTTCTTTGTTTTAGGGCACAATTAAAAAGCTGCACCCTCTCTTTATGCAAATCCGTAATTTGGTGGCTTCGAATTTATTTATATATTTAGAGTTTCCGCCTATCCCAGGTTGGTATTTTAGCCGTAAGGACCGCAAAATAGATGCATCATGGTTCACACCTCATTAAGATATCAAATGGTACTAATATTTTTAGCATTTTGGTAAACCCGTGACTGGGAAAAAGAGGGACAAGCACGGAAACACAACTAACACAGACAAGTATCAATATGCAGTTAAAAGCTGTTTTAGATGCGGAGCCTCTCTTGCTCGGGTCTATGTCCCGCGGCGTCGTAGTCCGCACTCACACTACGCATGCGCAACTCTCCTCCTTCCCTCTCTCCAACAGCTGCGCGTTCTCTCTCTCCGCTCTCTCTCTCTACCAGCTGCGTGCACTTCGCGTGCGTTCGCTTCTACTCACACCGCGCGCGCATGCGCAACTCTCCTCCTCTAGTCTCCTCTCCTTCAAGTGAAGGAGAGGAGACGGGAAGCCGCGTTGGTTCGTGAACGTCGAGCAGCAGAAC